AGCGCCCCCGACGCCGCGCCTGACGCATTCCGCACGCCAGTGAGGGGGTGTGCAGCGCCGATCCCAAGAGATTCGCGCGGAGCTCGGACAGTTCACCTCTGGCGCAGTGCTAGGGGGGCAGTAGACCTCAGGAGGGAACGGATCGGTCCCCAATCGCGACAGGGCCCCGACGTGGTCGGAGGCTCATCACCAAGCCATCGCCAATTGTCGATGTTCCCCCCCCCTGGCGTTCCTCCGTGGTTCCGTGGTTTCTGGGTCATAAATCAGCAGTTCTCCGACGACGGTCCTGGACGATTCGGGCACGCCCGGAACGCCTTCGACGAGGCGCAGCTGCTGGAACGCATCCCGAGGCTGGAGAGCCACCGAGAACAGACGAGAACGTAAGGAGACCTCGAACCTCGAACCCCCTATCGTTGCTTCCTTAACGTTGCCTCGGCCCGAGCAGCCTTAGCTGAAGCCACTCTGACCGAGGCCACCCACATCGGGGCAAGACCCAGTCGTTTCGGCCCGCCAGCCTGCGCAGTCATGCCGACGGGGACCATCAAGAAGTTCTTCGAGGACAAGGGCTTCGGCTTCATAACACCTGATGGTGGTGGCGAGGACGTGTTCGTGCACCGCAAGGTGAACGGTCAAGATCGCACCGCGTATCTCGAGGAGGGCGACGCCGTCACGTACGAGGTGGAGTGGGACGACCGCAAGGGCAAGTTCTCGGCAGCATCCTGCTCGGGTCCCTGGAAGACAGGCGGTGGCGATGGCGGCGGCGGAGGTGGCGGCTGGGGTGGTGGCGGCGGCAAGGGTGGCGGCAAGGGTGGCGGTGGCGGCTGGGGCGGCGGCGGCGGTGGGTGGTAGACGCAGCGCAGCCGGGTGGCCCTTCCTTTCCCCGATAGTCTCTGCTCGCTCGCGAGGGGGCGCTGGCTGCTCCCGAATTGTCTCATGTCTTGTTGCTTTCTTGTCCTGTGGGTGGGCGCGCCGAGCGCGTTCGGCGTGGCCAGTTTTGAGCGTCGGCACCGATCGGCACCGCGCTAGGAGATGGCAGTTGCCACTTGCGAGTCCTGAGGTTTGCCCTGCTGGCGGCAGGCGACCAGCATTCACGCTGTCGACTTCGGTGCCCAGCGTGCTGCCTCCCCAACGTTGCCTCCGCCTCCATCCATGCGTGCGCCGCCGCTCTGTCTCCGCGCCTAGCGTGCGATGTTGCTGTTTCCCCGCCGGCGTCCCCACGCCACCGGCGTGGGCTCGAGGGGTCACGGCCTCCTGGCGCGCTCTCGAGGCCTGGGGCAGCAAAAAACAAAGCAAACGCATACCCGTCGGTCGTTGAAAGCAAGTGTGCCTGGATTTTCGGATCCCAATCTGCCTGAGGCGCCTTCCTACTTCAATGATCGAGTGGGTTCACCTTCTCCTTCCTCTTCAGGGGGCGGGCGGAAACCCAATGTACTTCCAACGCCGTCCGACTTCATGGGTCGACCTGTTTTGTTTCGAAATGAAGGAGGAGCATCGACCGCCCCCATTCGATGCCCACGGTGACTATGGACGGCCAGGACCCGACCCACCCACCGCCCCAGTGGGTCCAGACGGCACGGTGTGTTCTTTCGCGGGTTCCTTAATAATTGATGTCTTTCGGCGTGTCTGTGTCGACAACGAGGCGATGTGTTTTCCTTTGGGTTCTCTTTGGGATGCGATCGCGCGACTCCCTAATTTTCAGCGCGCTGCCCAGAGTCAAGGGAGGAAGAGCCCCCCCCAACCCCCACAACAGCCCTGGCGTTCACTGATTCGACTGGTGCGTTTACTGACGGGCTTCGATCGTAGGGGTGTTTCTGCCAGACGCTTCGCGTAACCCCACCAGCCCATCCAGAAACGATGCCCAGGCGAGTTGCCATGATCAGTCATGTGGGGGAGCACGCAGTGGAATGAAGGCTGGGAAGTCGTCATATCCGAAGAGGGGGAGGACAGAGGAGGCACCAGAGGAGGAGGAGGAGGAGGAGGAGGAGGAGGAGGAGGAGGAGGAGGAGGAGGAGAGGAGGAGGAGGAGGAGGGGGGATCAGGCGGGAGGAAGGGGAAGGGAGGGGGAAGGAGGATGACGAGGGGGATGCGGAAGACGCCATTTTAGCAGGATCGTTCCTCCCGCCTCGAAGAAGAAACACTGCCTAAACACGAACATTATGTTTCGGAGCTCCGCGCGGAATTCTTGGAATCGGCGCTGGACCCCCTTGGCAGCGCCCCCGACGCCGCCCCTGGCGCGCTCCGCACGCCACGCCAGTGAGGGGGGGTACAGCGCCGATCCCAAGAGATCCGCGCGAAGCTCCGACATTTCATAGGTATGATAGCTTTTCTCCGTCTGCATCTGGCGCAGTGCTAGGGTGCCAGGGGGCGCTGTAGACTCAGATGGGAACGGATCGGTCCCCAATCGCGACAGGGCCCCGACGTGGTCGGGGGCTCATCGCCGAGCCATCGCCGATTGTCGATGTCCCCTCCCCCCTAGCTTTCCTCCGTGGTTTCTGGGTCATACATCAGTTCTCCGACGACGGTCCTGGACGATTCGGGCACGCCCGGAACGCCCTCGACGAGGCGCAGCTGCTGGAGCGTATCCCGAGGCTGGAGAGCCACCGAGAACCGACGAGAACGTAAGAAGTCATCGAACCTCGAACCCCCTACCGTTGCTTCCTTAACGTTGCCTCGGCCCGAGCAGCCTTAGCTGAAGCCACTCTGACCGAGGCCACCCACATCGGGGCAAGACCGAGTCGTTTCGACCCGCCAGCCTGCGCAGTCATGCCGACGGGGACCATCAAGAAGTTCTTCGAGGACAAGGGTTTCGGCTTCATAACGCCTGATGGTGGTGGCGAGGACGTGTTCGTGCACCGCAAGGTGAACGGTCAAGATCGCACCGCGTATCTCGAGGAGGGCGACGCCGTCACGTACGAGGTGGAGTGGGACGACCGCAAGGGCAAGTACTCGGCAGCATCCTGCTCGGGTCCCTGGAAGACAGGCGGTGGCGATGGCGGCGGCGGAGGTGGCGGCTGGGGTGGTGGCGGCGGCAAGGGTGGCGGCAAGGGTGGCGGTGGCGGCTGGGGCGGCGGCGGCGGTGGGTGGTAGACGCAGCGCAGCCGGGTGGCCCTTCCTTTCCCCGATAGTCTCTGCTCGCTCGCGAGGGGGCGCTGGCTGCTCCCGAATTGTCTCATGTCTTGTTGCTTTATTGTCCTGTGGGTGGGCGCGCCGAGCGCGTTCGGCGTGGCCAGTTTTGAGCGTCGGCACCGATCGGCACCGAGCTAGGAGATGGCAGTTGCCACTTGCGAGTCCTGAGGTTTGCCCCGCTGGCGGCAGGCGACCAGCATTCACGCTGTCGACTTCGGTGCCCAGCGTGCTGCCTCCCCAACGTTGCCTCCGCCTCCATCCATGCGTGCGCCGCCGCTCTGTCTCCGCGCCTAGCGTGCGATGTTGCTGTTTCCCCGCCGGCGTCCCCACGCCCCCGGCGTGGGCTCGAGGGGTCACGGCCTCCTGGCGCGCTCTCGAGGCCTGGGGCAGCAAAAAACACAGCAAACGCATACCCGTCGGTCGTTGATAGTAAGTATGCCTGGATGTTCGGATCCCAATTTGCCTGAGGCGCCTTCCTACTTCAACGATCGAGTGGGTTCACCTTCTCCTTCCTCTTTAGGGGGCGGGCGGAAACCCAATCTACTTCTCACGCCGTCCGACTTCATGGGTCGACCTGTTTTGTTTCGAAATGAGGGAGGAGCATCGACCGCCCCCATTCGATGCCCACGGTCACTATGGACGGCCAGGACCCGACCCACCCACCGCCCCAGAGGGTCCAGACGGCACGGTGTGTTCTTTCGCGGGTTCCTTAATAATTGATGTCTTTCGGCGTGTCTGTGTCGACAACGAGGCGATGTGTTTTCCTTTGGGTTCTCTTTGGGATGCGATCGCGCGACTCCCTAATTTTCAGCGCGCTGCCCAGAGTCAAGGGAGGAAGAGCCCCCCCCAAACCCCCACAACAGCCCTGGCGTTCACTGATTCGACTGGTGCGTATACTAACGGGCATCCATCGTAGGGGTGTTTCTGCCAGACGCTTCGCGTAACCCCACCAGCCCATCCAGAAACGATGCCCAGGCGAGTTGCCATGATCAGTCATGTGGGGGGGCACGCAGTGGAATGAAGGCTGGGAAGTCGTCATATCCGAAGAGGGGGGGGACAGAGGAGGCACCAGAGGACGAGGAGGAGGAGGAGGAGGAGGAGGAGGAGGAGGAGGAGGAGGAGAGGAGGAGGAGGAGGAGGGGGGATCAGGCGGGAGGAAGGGGAAGGGAGGGGGAAGGAGGATGACGAGGGGGATGCGGAAGACGCCATTTTAGCAGGATCGTTCCTCCCGCCTCGAAGAAGAAACACGGCCTAAACACGAACATTATGTTTCGGAGCTCCGCGCGGAATTCTTGGAATCGGCGCTGGACCCCCTTGGCAGCGCCCCCGACGCCGCCCCTGGCGCGCTCCGCACGCCACGCCAGTGAGGGGGGGGTACAGCGCCGATCCCAAGAGATCCGCGCGAAGCTCCGACATTTCATAGGTATGTAGCTGTTTCTCCGTCTGCATCTGGCGCAGTGCTAGGGTGCCAGGGGGCGCTGTAGACTCAGATGGGAACGGATCGGTCCCCAATCGCGACAGGGCCCCGACGTGGTCGGGGGCTCATCGCCGAGCCATCGCCGATTGTCGATGTCCCCTCCCCCCTAGCTTTCCTCCGTGGTTTCTGGGTCATACATCAGTTCTCCGACGGCGGTCCTGGACGATTCGGGCACGCCCGGAACGCCTTCGACGAGGCGCAGCTGCTGGAACGCATCCCGAGGCTGGAGAGCCACCGAGAACCGACGAGAACGTAAGAAGACCTCGAACCTCGAACCCCCTATCGTTGCTTCCTTAACGTTGCCTCGGCCCGAGCAGCCTTAGCTGAAGCCACTCTGACCGAGGCCACCCACATCGGGGCAAGACCGAGTCGTTTCGGCCCGCCAGCCTGCGCAGTCATGCCGACGGGGACCATCAAGAAGTTCTTCGAGGACAAGGGCTTCGGCTTCATAACGCCTGATGGTGGTGGCGAGGACGTGTTCGTGCACCGCAAGGTGAATGGTCAAGATCGCACCGCGTATCTCGAGGAGGGCGACGCCGTCACGTACGAGGTGGAGTGGGACGACCGCAAGGGCAAGTACTCGGCAGCATCCTGCTCGGGTCCCTGGAAGACAGGCGGTGGCGATGGCGGCGGCGGATGTGGCGGCTGGGGTGGTGGCGGCGGCAAGGGTGGCGGCAAGGGTGGCGGTGGCGGCTGGGGCGGCGGCGGCGGTGGGTGGTAGACGCAGCGCAGCCGGGTGGCCCTTCCTTTCCCCGATAGTCTCTGCTCGCTCGCGAGGGTGCGCTGGCTGCTCCCGAATTGTCTCATGTCTTTTTGCTTTCTTGTCCTGTGGGTGGGCGCGCCGAGCGCGTTCGGCGTGGCCAGTTTTGAGCGTCGGCACGGATCGGCACCGAGCTAGGAGATGGCAGTTGCCACTTGCGAGTCCTGAGGTTTGCCCCGCTGGCGGCAGGCGACCAGCATTCACGCTGTCGACTTCGGTGCCCAGCGTGCTGCCTCCCCAACGTTGCCTCCGCCTCCATCCATGCGTGCGCCGCCGCTCTGTCTCCGCGCCTAGCGTGCGATGTTGCTGTTTCCCCGCCGGCGTCCCCACGCCACCGGCGTGGGCTCGAGGGGTCACGGCCTCCTGGCGCGCTCTCGAGGCCTGGGGCAGCAAAAAACACAGCAATCGCATACCCGTCGGTCGTTGAAAGCAAGTGTGCCTGGATGTGCGGATCCCAATCTGCCTGAGGCGCCTTCCTACTTCAACGATCGAGTGGGTTCACCTTCTCCTTCCTCTTTAGGGGGCGGGCGGAAACCCAATCTACTTCTCACGCCGTCCGACTTCATGGGTCGACCTGTTTTGTTTCGAAATGAGGGAGGAGCATCGACCGCCCCCATTCGATGCCCACGGTCACTATGGACGGCCAGGACCCGACCCACCCACCGCCCCAGTGGGTCCAGACGGCACGGTGTGTTCTTTCGCGGGTTCCTTAGTAATTGATGTCTTTCGGCGTGTCTGTGTCGACAACGAGGCGATGTGTTTTCCTTTGGGTTCTCTTTGGGATGCGATCGCGCGACTCCCTAATTTTCAGCGCGCTGCCCAGAGTCAAGGGAGGAAGAGCCCCCCCCAAACCCCCACAACAGCCCTGGCGTTCACTGATTCGACTGGTGCGTATACTAACGGGCATCCATCGTAGGGGTGTTTCTGCCAGACGCTTCGCGTAACCCCACCAGCCCATCCAGAAACGATACCCAGGCGAGTTGCCATGATCAGTCATGTGGGGGGGCACGCAGTGGAATGAAGGCTGGGAAGTCGTCATATCCGAAGAGGGGGGGGACAGAGGAGGCACCAGAGGAGGAGGAGGAGGAGGAGGAGGAGGAGGAGGAGGAGGAGGAGAGGAGGAGGAGGAGGAGGGGGGATCAGGCGGGAGGAAGGGGAAGGGAGGGGGAAGGAGGATGACGAGGGGGATGCGGAAGACGCCATTTTAGCAGGATCGTTCCTCCCGCCTCGAAGAAGAAACACGGCCTAAACACGAACATTATGTTTCGGAGCTCCGCGCGGAATTCTTGGAATCGGCGCTGGACCCCCTTGGCAGCGCCCCCGACGCCGCCCCTGGCGCGCTCCGCACGCCACGCCAGTGAGGGGGGGTACAGCGCCGATCCCAAGAGATCCGCGCGAAGCTCCGACATTTCATAGGTATGTAGCTGTTTCTCCGTCTGCATCTGGCGCAGTGCTAGGGTGCCAGGGGGCGCTGTAGACTCAGATGGGAACGGATCGGTCCCCAATCGCGACAGGGCCCCGACGTGGTCGGGGGCTCATCGCCGAGCCATCGCCGATTGTCGATGTCCCCTCCCCCCTAGCTTTCCTCCGTGGTTTCTGGGTCATACATCAGTTCTCCGACGACGGTCCTGGACGATTCGGGCACGCCCGGAACGCCCTCGACGAGGCGCAGCTGCTGGAGCGTATCCCGAGGCTGGAGAGCCACCGAGAACCGACGAGAACGTAAGAAGTCATCGAACCTCGAACCCCCTATCGTTGCTTCCTTAACGTTGCCTCGGCCCGAGCAGCCTTAGCTGAAGCCACTCTGACCGAGGCCACCCACATCGGGGCAAGACCGAGTCGTTTCGACCCGCCAGCCTGCGCAGTCATGCCGACGGGGACCATCAAGAAGTTCTTCGAGGACAAGGGTTTCGGCTTCATAACGCCTGATGGTGGTGGCGAGGACGTGTTCGTGCACCGCAAGGTGAACGGTCAAGATCGCACCGCGTATCTCGAGGAGGGCGACGCCGTCACGTACGAGGTGGAGTGGGACGACCGCAAGGGCAAGTACTCGGCAGCATCCTGCTCCGGTCCCTGGAAGACAGGCGGTGGCGATGGCGGCGGCGGATGTGGCGGCTGGGGTGGTGGCGGCGGCAAGGGTGGCGGCAAGGGTGGCGGTGGCGGCTGGGGCGGCGGCGGCGGTGGGTGGTATACGCAGCGCAGCCGGGTGGCCCTTCCTTTCCCCGATAGTCTCTGCTCGCTCGCGAGGGGGCGCTGGCTGCTCCCGAATTGTCTCATGTCTTGTTGCTTTCTTGTCCTGTGGGTGGGCGCGCCGAGCGCGTTCGGCGTGGCCAGTTTTGAGCGTCGGCACCGATCGGCACCGCGCTAGGAGATGGCAGTTGCCACTTGCGAGTCCTGAGGTTTGCCCCGCTGGCGGCAGGCGACCAGCATTCACGCTGTCGACTTCGGTGCCCAGCGTGCTGCCTCCCCAACGTTGCCTCCGCCTCCATCCCTGCGTGCGCCGCCGCTCTGTCTCCGCGCCTAGCGCGCGATGTTGCTGGCCCCCCGCCGGGATCACGGCCTCCTGGCGCGCTCTCGAGGCCTGGGGCAGCAAAAAACACAGCAAACGCATACCCGTCGGTCGTTGAAAGTAAGTATGCCTGGATTTTCGACCTTAGGCGCCTTCCTACTTCAATGATCGAGTGGGTTCACCTTCTACTTCCTCTTCAGGGGGCGGGCGGAAACCCAATCTGCTTCCAACGCCGCCCGACTTCATGGGTCGACCTGTTTTGTCTCGAAATGAAGGAGGAGCATCGATCGCCCCCAGTCGTTGCCCACGGTGACTATGGACGGCCAGGACCCGACCCACCCACCGCCCCAGTGGGTCCAGACGGCACGGTGTGTTCTTTCGCGGGTTCCTTAATAATTGATGTCTTTCGGCGTGTCTGTGTCGACAACGAGGCGATGTGGTTTCCTTTGGGTTCTCTTTGGGATGCGATCGCGCGACTCCCTAGGCGAGTTGCCCTGGTAATGCATGTGGGGGGGCGCACAGTGGAATGAAGGCTGGGAGGTCGTCATATCCAACGAGGGGGAGGACAGATCAAGCACCGGAGGAGGAGGCGGAGGAGAAGTAAGAGGAGGAGGAGGATGAGGACGAGGAGGAGGAGGAAGAGAAGGAGGAGGAAGAAGAGGAGGAGGAGGAGGAGGAGGGGGATCAGGCGGGAGGAAGGGGAAGGGAGGAGGGAGGAGGAGGATTAGGGGGATGCGGAAGACGCCATTTTGGCAGGATCGGTCCTCCTGCCTCGAAGAAGACACATGGCATAAACACATACATCATTTTACGTAGCTCCGCGCGGAATACTTGGAATCGGCGCTGGCCCCCCTTGGCAGCGCCCCCGACGCCGCGCCTGACGCGTTCCGCACGCCAGTGAGGGGGTGTGCAGCGCCGATCCCAAGAGATTCACGCGGAGCTCGGACAGTTCACCTCTGGCGCAGTGCTAGGGGGCAGTAGACCTCAGGAGGGAACGGATCGGTCCCCAATCGCGACAGGGCCCCGACGTGGTCGGGGGCTCATCACCAAGCCATCGCCAATTGTCGATGTTCCTCCCCCCTGGCGTTCCTCCGTGGTTCCGTGGTTTCTGGGTCATACATCAGCAGTTCTCCGACGACGGTCCTGGACGATTCGGGCACGCCCGGAACGCCTTCGACGAGGCGCAGCTGCTGGAACGCATCCCGAGGCTGGAGAGCCACCGAGAACATACGAGAACGTAAGGAGACCTCGAACCTCGAACCCCCTATCGTTGCTTCCTTAACGTTGCCTCGGCCCGAGCAGCCTTAGCTGAAGCCACTCTGACCGAGGCCACCCACATCGGGGCAAGACCGAGTCGTTTCGGCCCGCCAGCCTGCGCAGTCATGCCGACGGGGACCATCAAGAAGTTCTTCGAGGACAAGGGCTTCGGCTTCATAACGCCTGATGGTGGTGGCGAGGACGTGTTCGTGCACCGCAAGGTGAACGGTCAAGATCGCACCGCGTATCTCGAGGAGGGCGACGCCGTCACGTACGAGGTGGAGTGGGACGACCGCAAGGGCAAGTATTCGGCAGCATCCTGCTCCGGTCCCTGGAAGACAGGCGGTGGCGATGGCGGCGGCGGAGGTGGCGGGTGGGGTGGTGGCGGCGGCAAGGGTGGCGGCAAGGGTGGCGGTGGCGGCTGGGGCGGCGGCGGCGGTGGGTGGTAGACGCAGCGCAGCCGGGTGGCCCTTCCTTTCCCCGACTCTGCTCGCTCGCGAGGGGGCGCTGGCTGCTCCCGAATTGTCTCACGTCTTGTTGCTTTCTTGTCCTGTGGGTGGGCGCGCCGAGCGCGTTCGGCGTGGCCAGTTTTGAGCGTCGGCACCGATCGGCACCGCGCTAGGAGATGGCAGTTGCCACTTGCGAGTCCTGAGGTTTGCCCCGCTGGCGGCAGGCGACCAGCATTCACGCTGTCGACTTTGGTGCCCAGCGTGCTGCCTCCCCAACGTTGCCTCCGCCTCCATCCCTGCGTGCGCCGCCGCTCTGTCTCCGCGCCTAGCGCGCGATGTTGCTGGCCCCCCGCCGGCGTCCCCACGCCCCCGGCGTGGGCTCGAGGGATCACGGCCTCCTGGCGCGCTCTCGAGGCCTGGGGCAGCAAAAAACACAGCAATCGCATACCCGTCGGTCGTTGATAGTAAGTATGCCTGGATATTCGGATCCCAATCTGCCTGAGGCGCCTTCCTACTTCAATGATCGAGTGGGTTCACCTTCTCCTTCCTCTTCAGGGGGCGGGCGGAAACCCAATCTACTTCTCACGCCGTCCGACTTCATGGGTCGACCTGTTTTGTTTCGAAATGAGGGAGGAGCATCGACCGCCCCCATTCGATGCCCACGGTCACTATGGACGGCCAGGACCCGACCCACCCACCGCCCCAGTGGGTCCAGACGGCACGGTGTGTTCTTTCGCGGGTTCCTTAATAATTGATGTCTTTCGGCGTGTCTGTGTCGACAACGAGGCGATGTGTTTTCTTTTGGGTTCTCTTTGGGATGCGATCGCGCGACTCCCTAATTTTCAGCGCGCTGCCCAGAGTCAAGGGAGGAAAAGCCCCCCCCAACCCCCACAACAGCCCTGGCGTTCACTGATTCGACTGGTGCGTTTACTGACGGGCTTCGATCGTAGGGGTGTTTCTGCCAGACGCTTCGCGTAACCCCACCAGCCCATCCAGAAACGATGCCCAGGCGAGTTGCCATGATCAGTCATGTGGGGGAGCACGCAGTGGAATGAAGGCTGGGAAGTCGTCATATCCGAAGAGGGGGAGGACAGAGGAGGCACCAGAGGAGGAGGAGGAGGAGGAGGAGGAGGAGGAGGAGGAGGAGAGGAGGAGGAGGAGGAGGGGGGATCAGGCGGGAGGAAGGGGAAGGGAGGGGGAAGGAGGATGACGAGGGGGATGCGGAAGACGCCATTTTAGCAGGATCGTTCCTCCCGCCTCGAAGAAGAAACACGGCCTAAACACGAACATTATGTTTCGGAGCTCCGCGCGGAATTCTTGGAATCGGCGCTGGACCCCCTTGGCAGCGCCCCCGACGCCGCCCCTGGCGCGCTCCGCACGCCAGTGAGGGGGGGTACAGCGCCGATCCCAAGAGATCCGCGCGAAGCTCCGACATTTCATAGGTATGTAGCTGTTTCTCCGTCTGCATCTGGCGCAGTGCTAGGGTGCCAGGGGGCGCTGTAGACTCAGATGGGAACGGATCGGTCCCCAATCGCGACAGGGCCCCGACGTGGTCGGGGGCTCATCGCCGAGCCATCGCCGATTGTCGATGTCCCCTCCCCCCTAGCTTTCCTCCGTGGTTTCTGGGTCATACATCAGTTCTCCGACGGCGGTCCTGGACGATTCGGGCACGCCCGGAACGCCTTCGACGAGGCGCAGCTGCTGGAACGCATCCCGAGGCTGGAGAGCCACCGAGAACCGACGAGAACGTAAGAAGACCTCGAACCTCGAACCCCCTATCGTTGCTTCCTTAACGTTGCCTCGGCCCGAGCAGCCTTAGCTGAAGCCACTCTGACCGAGGCCACCCACATCGGGGCAAGACCGAGTCGTTTCGGCCCGCCAGCCTGCGCAGTCATGCCGACGGGGACCATCAAGAAGTTCTTCGAGGACAAGGGCTTCGGCTTCATAACGCCTGATGGTGGTGGCGAGGACGTGTTCGTGCACCGCAAGGTGAACGGTCAAGATCGCACCGCGTATCTCGAGGAGGGCGACGCCGTCACGTACGAGGTGGAGTGGGACGACCGCAAGGGCAAGTACTCGGCAGCATCCTGCTCCGGTCCCTGGAAGACAGGCGGTGGCGATGGCGGCGGCGGAGGTGGCGGCTGGGGTGGTGGCGGCGGCAAGGGTGGCGGCAAGGGTGGCGGTGGCGGCTGGGGCGGCGGCGGCGGTGGGTGGTAGACGCAGCGCAGCCGGGTGGCCCTTCCTTTCCCCGATAGTCTCTGCTCGCTCGCGAGGGGGCGCTGGCTGCTCCCGAATTGTCTCATGTCTTGTTGCTTTCTTGTCCTGTGGGTGGGCGCGCCGAGCGCGTTCGGCGTGGCCAGTTTTGAGCGTCGGCACCGATCGGCACCGCGCTAAAAGATGGCAGTTGCCACTTGCGAGTCCTGAGGTTTGCCCCGCTGGCGGCAGGCGACCAGCATTCACGCTGTCGACTTTGGTGCCCAGCGTGCTGCCTCCCCAACGTTGCCTCCGCCTCCATCCCTGCGTGCGCCGCCGCTCTGTCTCCGCGCCTAGCGCGCGATGTTGCTGGCCCCCCGCCGGCGTCCCCACGCCCCCGGCGTGGGCTCGAGGGGTCACGGCCTCCTGGCGCCGTCTCGAGGCCTGGGGCAGCAAAAAACACAGCAATCGCATACCCGTCGGTCGTTGATAGTAAGTATGCCTGGATATTCGGATCCCAATCTGCCTGAGGCGCCTTCCTACTTCAATGATCGAGTGGGTTCACCTTCTCCTTCCTCTTCAGGGGGCGGGCGGAAACCCAATCTACTTCTCACGCCGTCCGACTTCATGGGTCGACCTGTTTTGTTTCGAAATGAGGGAGGAGCATCGACCGCCCCCATTCGATGCCCACGGTCACTATGGACGGCCAGGACCCGACCCACCCACCGCCCCAGTGGGTCCAGACGGCACGGTGTGTTCTTTCGCGGGTTCCTTAGTAATTGATGTCTTTCGGCGTGTCTGTGTCGACAACGAGGCGATGTGTTTTCCTTCGGGTTCTCTTTGGGATGCGATCGCGCGACTCCCTAATTTTCAGCGCTCTGCCCAGAGTCAAGGGAGGAAAAGCCCCCCCCAATCCCCACAACAGCCCTGGCGTTCACTGATTCGACTGGTGCGTTTACTGACGGGCTTCGATCGTAGGGGTGTTTCTGCCAGACGCTTCGCGTAACCCCACCAGCCCATCCAGAAACGATGCCCAGGCGAGTTGCCATGATCAGTCATGTGGGGGAGCACGCAGTGGAATGAAGGCTGGGAAGTCGTCATATCCGAAGAGGGGGAGGACAGAGGAGGCACCAGAGGACGAGGAGGAGGAGGAGGAGGAGGAGGAGGAGGAGGAGGAGAGGAGGAGGAGGAGGAGGAGGGGGGATCAGGCGGGAGGAAGGGGAAGGGAGGGGGGAGGAGGATGACGAGGGGGATGCGGAAGACGCCATTTTGGCAGGATCGTTCCTCCCGCCTCGAAGAAGAAACACGGCCTAAACACGAACATTATGTTTCGGAGCTCCGCGCGGAATTCTTGGAATCGGCGCTGGACCCCCTTGGCAGCGCCCCCGACACCGCCCCTGGCGCGCTCCGCACGCCAGTGAGGGGGGGTACAGCGCCGATCCCAAGAGATCCGCGCGAAGCTCCGACATTTCATCTACATCCTTCTACATCTGGCGCAGTGCTAGGGTGCCAGGGGGCGCTGTAGACTCAGATGGGAACGGATCGGTCCCCAATCGCGACAGGGCCCCGACGTGGTCGGGGGCTCATCGCCGAGCCATCGCCGATTGTCGATGTCCCCTCCCCCCTAGCTTTCCTCCGTGGTTTCTGGGTCATACATCAGTTCTCCGACGACGGTCCCGGACGATTCGGGCACGCCCGGAACGCCCTCGACGAGGCGCAGCTGCTGGAACGCATCCCGAGGCTGGAGAGCCACCGAGAACCGACGAGAACGTAAGAAGTCATCGAACCTCGAACCCCCTATCGTCGCTTCCTTAACGTTGCCTCGGCCCGAGCAGCCTTAGCTGAAGCCACTCTGACCGAGGCCACCCACATCGGGGCAAGACCGAGTCGTTTCGGCCCGCCAGCCTGCGCAGTCATGCCGACGGGGACCATCAAGAAGTTCTTCGAGGACAAGGGCTTCGGCTTCATAACGCCTGATGGTGGTGGCGAGGACGTGTTCGTGCACCGGAAGGTGAACGGTCAAGATCGCACCGCGTATCTCGAGGAGGGCGACGCCGTCACGTACGAGGTGGAGTGGGACGACCGCAAGGGCAAGTACTCGGCAGCATCCTGCTCGGGTCCCTGGAAGACAGGCGGTGGCGATGGCGGCGGCGGAGGTGGCGGCTGGGGTGGTGGCGGCGGCAAGGGTGGCGGCAAGGGTGGCGGTGGCGGCTGGGGCGGCGGCGGCGGTGGGTGGTAGACGCAGCGCAGCCGGGTGGCCCTTTCCTTTCCCCGATAGTCTCTGCTCGCTCGCGAGGGGGCGCTGGCTGCTCCCGAATTGTCTCATGTCTTTTTGCTTTCTTGTCCTGTGGGTGGGCGCGCCGAGCGCGTTCGGCGTGGCCAGTTTTGAGCGTCGGCACCGATCGGCACCGAGCTAGGAGATGGCAGTTGCCACTTGCGAGTCCTGAGGTTTGCCCCGCTGGCGGCAGGCGACCAGCATTCACGCTGTCGACTTCGGTGCCCAGCGTGCTGCCTCCCCAACGTTGCCTCCGCCTCCATCCCTGCGTGCGCCGCCGCTCTGTCTCTGCGCCTAGCGCGCGATGTTGCTGGCCCCCCGCCGGCGTCCCCACGCTACTGGCGTGGGCTCGAGGGATCACGGCCTCCTGGCGCGCTCTCGAGGCCTGGGGCAGCAAAAAACACAGCAATCGCATACCCGTCGGTCGTTGAAAGCAAGTGTGCCTGGATGTGCGGATCCCAATCTGCCTGAGGCGCCTTCCTACTTCAATGATCGAGTGGGTTCACCTTCTCCTTCCTCTTCAGGGGGCGGGCGGAAACCCAATCTACTTCCAACGCCGTCCGACTTCATGGTTCCAACGCCGTCCCACCCACTTGATGTTCGACCATGGTTTCCCACTTCATGGTTCGATCGCCTCCATTCGATGCCCACGGTCACTACGGACGGTCAGGACCCGACCCACCCACCGCCCCGGCACGGTGTGTGTTTAGATGGTTCCTGGATTGCTGACGTCTGTCTGCGTGTCTGTGTCGACAACGAGGCGGTGTGCTTTCCTTTGGGTTCTCTTTGAGGAGGAGGAGGAGGAAGAAGAAGAGGAGAAGGAGGAGGAGGAGGAAGAAGAGGAAGAGGAGGAGGAGGACGAGGAGGAGGAGGAGGAGGAGGAGGAGGAGAGAGGGAGAGGCGGGAGGAAGGGGAAGGCAGTGGTAAGAAGAAGAGGAGGAGGAGGATGAGGAGGAGGTGGAGGGAGTCGGGAGTGAGGGGAAGGGAGGAGGCAGAGGAGGAGGATTAGGCGGATCAGGATCAGGATTAGGAGAAGGAGGAGGGCGAATATGTAGGAAGGCCATAGGCCTCTTGGATGCTCCTCGGCGCCTCTCCGGATGTCTCCCG